TTCCTTTAAACACAAAGTAGATAACAGCTATTAAGAAGAAGGTAAGGATGTCAGGTCCTAAAAACTTTACACAAATAATAACCTAAAGCCAGGCCAAGAGAGACTAGCTGCAGACCTGCAATGTAAGAACCCTTTGTTGTATAATAGCGTTTAACTTTGAGTGAAGTTCCAGCAGGAATCAGTTTTAAAAATGCATCTGTAAGAGACAGATAACATTGTGAGAAGTAAAATAAAATCACCCAAAAACTAAATGATAAAACACGGTTTTCTTGGTCATTATGTAGCGAAAAGTTGTCATGATCTTGGCGCTGACGGTTTGTTTTTTTTCCTTTGCTCCTTGCTCAGCTGTCGAATTGGTTCTGCGGCTGATTATCGCCGATCATTTCCACCTGGTTCCTCTACTATTTAGGTTGTGTGTTTGCCTTCCATCAGCACCAGGTTATTTAGTCTGTCTGCTTTCCTGTTTATGACCAGTTTTCTGCCCTGAGGATCTCGAGTTTTTGCCTTGCCCCTGTCTGCTCTGTTTGTCTTATCTGATCCTGGATCCTACCGACTTCTGAACCTGGAACTGTCTTCCCTTCTGGGCTTGATTGCTGCTCGGCGTCAGCTGGCGCCCGCTTCGCTCGCTCTCTAAGAACTCTGGGGGTGTTGCCTGCCGCAACTGCGGGCAAACCTTCCGTCTAGATGCAGCTGTGTTCTCCGCGAACGGACTCAACTTTGAATCAGGTCAGTGACTTTGCTCCAAGTCGTATTCAGCTCCACATCCGGTCACTGACCTGTATTCTCCTATCCCTGCAGAGATCCATCCCGTTGCAGACGAGCAGCCCTGCGCTCCTGTTAGTTTAAATAAACGCTTTGAACTTTCCCACTGTCTGTCTCACCTCAAATTCTGGGTCCAACATTCTGAGATCATTACAAAAGTAGGGAAAAGGTACGTTTAAGTGAGCACTTACCTTGCATAAAAAAACATTTCTTCTTCTCTGTTAGAGTGACATTTATAAAATTAATGTGTGGGCATATGAAAC